AAAGCCAAAAGCCATCAAACGCAACCGTGAACATTTTCTCTTCGAAAGACCTTGAATCAAGTAGCACCCGAAAACCATCCCCATTGAGTGCTTTCTTTCAAGGTAAATATGATCGATGTAAAAATAATCAAGTTTACCTTGTGCAAGGATTATGTTTTTTTTTGTAATGCATGTGAAAGCATTTTCTATGTGTGGAAGGCCATTTCAAATGTCGCAATTTACCTGTCATATTCAAGGGAAGTCTCGAGACCATTGTTTAACAGTCTGGGATTTATGCTAATGCAAAATTCTACAGCATGCATCTTTGGTGTTAGTGTTGTTCGACTACAAAGTTGCAGATTTTGATTTTCTGCTGACTTCCTTCTTCATATTTTGCTGTTTAATTAACGGTAGCTGGTCAAAGAGCAAACACACACCTAAAGTCGCTTTTTATGAAGACAGTCGATACTCATTTTGATCTTTGAAACTACTTAATTATACATGTTATCGATGAGATAAAATGAAAATCATTTTTTTTGACGGAACGATAGAGATTGGTTCGTCTCCCTCTGATTTGTTGGTTTCGTCCTACATTTATACTTGGACACAAATGAGAGATAGGGGAAAACTAGTCTTGGATCTTTGCAGCAGCCTAAAGCAGCTATTTATTTGACAAAAACTTCTTGGTATAACCAAACGATGGACCATCACTATGACCCCTTTTGTTAGTGGGCTCACCTGACCCAAACCGATTGGACCTTGACCTCGTTCATCTTTTACTGGGAATATCTGACCCAAACCAATTGGACCTTCATATTGGTCATCTTTTAGCGGGCACACCTGACCCAAACCACGGACCCTACTTTTGGTCCTAATCTTTGATCATCATGTATACATACTTCAATTTTCAAATAATATTTCAACTCTGTTCAAATTGTTTCTTTCTGAAGTTAAACATATATTTTTTAAATTCCATGTGATATTAACACAGATGTACTGTTGAATCGTCTTCAATTGTATCTTAAAACAGCAGACCATACTAGCTGCAGAGCCAACAGCACTCGTAAATCTCGTCGTATGGAACTATGTCGAAAACCAACTCAATTAAGTGCATTTTTAAAGGTTTTTGTATGCATCTGAAAGCATTTCCCATGTCTGGAAAGGCATTTGAAACGTCGCATTTTCCATGCCATATTCCACGGCAGTCTGAAGACCAGTGTAAACAGTCTGGGCTTGATTGTTATGCAACATTTAATGTCTACAGCACAAGTGAGATAAATGAGATAACATATTTCATAATAATGAGGTATTTGCAAGCTAGAATTTTTTTTTTTAAATTACTGAATTAGGGGTGTTATTACTTTTACTGAAATCATATTTTTTTTGGAAAACACGACAGATATTGTTTAGCCTCACTCTGATATGCTGGTTTCGTTCTACCTTTTACACAGTGTCTTAAATTTTCTCTTAAATCAGCAGACCATGTTAGCTGCAGAGCCAGCAGCACTCGTATATCTCGTCGTAGGAAATTGTGTCAAAAATCAACTCAATTAAGGGGCCATTCAGAATTTTCCTTTCGGAAAAAAATCCATTGCTGCTTGGCGGAGGCAAAAGCTGTCTCTTTGCACCTTTTCGACAACAAACATGACGCACAAAGAAACAAAGATCGGTAGGTATCTCGCATGTTGTGACGGTACATGTTGATGTTGTGACATCCATGTTGGCAGCCATGTTGTTTACAGTCGAGTCGTGAAAATGCCGCACTCGTACGTTCACGCATGCATGATGCATGCAGTATAGCGAGCGTAGGCTGCGGTCCTCGTATATAGTCTTGGAGTCCAGTGGTTGAATTATGTGGTATTTTATAGCGATTGGTAATCGACGCCCGCGGCGTGTTTTAGAGCCGATCTAGTACACCTGGTATCCTGCTACATCTGCACGGCCTAACACCTACAAACGCCTAGCGTCCAAGTCTACTGAAAAAAAATGCATGTTACTTGCTATACTTCAGGACAGTCTCAAGATCATTGTAGGACAGTCTCAAGATTATTGTAAACAGTTTGGGATTCATGCTGATGCAACATTTGATGTCTACAGCATAAGAGTAATGAATGAGAAAAAAAATGTTTCATAATAACAAATTATCTACAGGCTTGAAAATATTTTTTTTTAAAGTAATGAATAAGGGATGTTATTAATTTGACTTAATTCATTTTTTGACAACACAATAAGACTGGTTTGCCTCACTTTGATATGCTAGTTTCGTAATACATTTTTAAAGAGTCTTAAATTTTTTCTTAAATCAGCTGACCATGTTAGCTGCAGAGCAATCAGCCCTCGTAAATCTCGTCTTGGGAGCTATGTAGATTAGACTTTCAATCTCTGAATGCTAATGGGCACATTTTGTTTCAGGTTAGACACAACCTCGTCCCCAGTGCTTACTTTATTTTCAACCGCGTTTCTTATAGTAAACCCTGGATAGGAAACTTTCTTCCTGTATCCTGATTCGATACCGCAATTGGCTAATAATGGATGATAATCGTGTACTTGGTGCTATTATTCACAACTTGCAGTACGTGTTTTCGCGATCATTCGTCCACGCCTTCTCGAAAATACTAATTTCCTTTCCAATTTGCTTATACTAATATCAAATATGACACTGCATGTTGTCTCGATAAGATCGTAACAGTTTGATTTAAAAAAAAAAATCGTGTTTTCGTAACTCACGCCGTGCTCGCGCTGCTACGAATTGACTCTTTTTTTTTTTTATCCCGGACACCGCATACAAAAACAAACGCTAATGTGTAACGCATATCCAGGCACCAGACTGTTCCTCATTTGCATACGTGTTCAAAAATCTTGCACATGCGAATGATCCAATACCAGTGCGGTAGAGCCGGTAGTGGTGGGCGCGTACTGCTCGACACCCTGGGGACGAGGTTGGGTTAGACATGATCTCTAGGGCTTTCTCCCTTGGGTAACTATTGGGTGAAGCGAACGCCATTATTTCAGGCATGTATCCTATACTGCTATAATAACGATTGCCATAATAACTTTTGCACTTTCGTAAATCTGATCGCCTTCAAACTTAGTGTACACATGCTGCACTACCCGGTCCACGTTGATCGCGATGACTTCATTTGTGTCATATGACGTCACATTAAAGGCGCATTTTATCATTCGAAGTACAAGTCTGATTGGGTTGAAACTTGGTAGCGTGTGTACATAAACAGGGACGTGGTATGGATGAAAATTGAGGTGACGTCATGATGACGTCATTGCGAGTCACGTGAAGTCACATTAAAGGTGCATTTTCAAATACTACCGGTATATCTACTAAACTGTAAGCGCGTTCGAGCGTGGTACTCGTGTTAACACGAGTTTACTCCTGAGCGCCCGAACGGCAGGAGTACGACCCGCGGGTCAGCAAGAGTATACTCTCCGTCATACTGGGAGTATACTCCTGCACCGAGAGTAATGCGCACGCAATATTTTCCTGCACTTGGAAGTAGCAAGAGTAACACGTGCGAACGTACCCCGAGTGTCCAATTTGGTTGTTACTCGGTAGAAACCTAGACCAAATGTGCAATAGATGAACATTGATGTGACATCATGATAAAGTCATCACATGTCATGTAATTGAACCTTACATTGGCATTTTTTCCTATTAAAGGCCTATATCTATAAAATTATGTGTCCGATGTGTTGTAACTTTGTTTATGTAAACCGGGATGTGTTTATATCGATGAAATTTGAATTGAGGTTGTCATACCGTCGTCACATGTCGCAGAGTCATTTCAAACAGCCGAAACATACTGTGTTTGTCCGCAAACACACTTGTAGTTAAGGCCAAAAAAAAAAGGTCTCTGGTCAGCGCTCGCGTCGATTTTAATCATGCGCGTCAATTTTTTTTTTTCCCCAAAATGTTCCGCGGTAGCTCCAACAGCGACCTCTATTGCCGCACCTCCTCATTTTTTTTTACCAAAGAGCACCAAGAAGGGGAAATTGCACCAAGGCAAATGATCGAGAGCACCAAGGCACATTATGGAGGACACAAAAATGTACATGAGGACACCAAAAAAAGCAAAATAGTACCTCACCTTGTCTGTACAATCCAAGCTTGAAGAAGAAGAAGAAAAAAAAAACCGCGTCGCCGCGTCAATTCCGGAACTTTGGTCTGACCAGAGACCGAATTTTTTTTTTGGCCTAATCCTTAACGCGTCAGGGGATTTTAATACGGGTTTTCAAACCTTTTCCTCGAACCCATAACCTATAAATATATATATGTCGAAGTGAATAAATGAAAAGCATTTTAGTAGCGTTGGTATCGTAATATGCCATTATGACATTAATTATTACTTAATATTTCCTAACTCATCCTATTATCGGGATCATTATGATTACATTACGATCGCCACCTGTTTAATCAACTAAGTAAGACGAAGGTTGTTTTCCTGCACCTGTTTAATCAACTAAGTAAGACGAAGGTTGTTTTTCTGCACCTGTTTAATCAACTAAGTAAGACGAAGGTTGTTGTCCTGCACCTGTTTAATTAACTATTCAGACGAAAGTTGTTTTCCTGTAAAATTAATTGCGGTAGTGGCGGCATGCACTGGCGTCTGGCGATTATGCAGACATTTTATTAATCCGACACGTGTAATGCGACATTTGAACTCCATGAAATACAAGCTCATTGGGTGTACTGCGCATGCTTCGTGAAGATAATTACACGTACAGTGACAGAACACGTGTGGGAGTCCTAATTTCATAGGAGGATCGGATTTTATAGGGGGCCAAATTTCCTATTACACCAGCACTGACTCCACCATCGTCTAGCAACCACGATGAGCGATCTTTGTCCAAGTCACATGATCATGTAATAGTGAACATCTCAGAGGGAACAAAAAGGCAAGGCTTGCTAGGCTTACCGCCACATTATTGTCGGAATCGGTGAGGCAAACAGTCGCGTCAGTATGAATGTGACGCTTTTACTCCTTTTCGGTTTCGCCGTATTGTTACAGTCTGGTCCAGTGATTACTCAGCCTGCAGGTAAGTTGATGTAACTTTTCCTGCTTAAAATAAAAAAAAATATTTTTTACTCATCTCTCTAGCTGTTTATTCACTCTCTCAAATGCAAAGAGTGAAAATTCACTTCCACGATCGGAAATAGGAACATTTCCACCTTAATAAGGCTGGATACCCATCCCAACAAAACAAATCTTCTGTGCATGTCATGTCCGTTACCCAGTTATTTTTTTCTTCAATTTTTTTTTTTACTAATTCAGCTATAGATCTTCGCATTGTGGATGGCCGTTACCCTAACGAAGGTCGGGTGGAAGTCCGTTTACCTGGCCACGAAACATGGGGTTCATACTGCTCCGTCGGTGCCATTCTGAACTCCAGCTTCCTGCACGCTCCGGGCCGCGTGCTGTGTCGCCAACTGGGTTATCCCGCCCTGTACGCGATCAGCAACACGGCACAGTTTGGCACGGCCACTGGTCCGATATGGCTGCAGGGAATCGACTGTGGTTCCGTTGTCCAACCCCTGGAGGAATGCACTCTCGAGCAGTGGACTCCGAGATACGACGGGTGCGATCATAGACACGACGTTGGGATCAAGTGTTTCACGGGTAAGCAGAATCAGTGCAATCTCATGATTGTGCCCTGTTTGCAGTGGCAGTAAATATTTTTTCTAAACGTATGTCCATAGTAAGTAATTGTCTGGGTTGGTTATCCATTCAGACTGAGAACTTGGGACAATGGAATGTGTGCGATTTCAATGGTAAAAACCTTGGGAGCTGTCGAGAAAAAGTTAGTGCACAAACAAAAAGGGAGCAAAAGAGGAAAGGATCAGGTCCTCAATAGTATAGTAAATAAATAATTATTAATAAAAATTGGAAGGACTTGCCGAAACTTGGGTCAGCTAAGTTTGTTGATTAGTAGTTTCAGGTCAATGTACTCTTTAAACAGTTTGCAACAGTTTTATTCGTTTTTAGTTATGAAAAGAAAATGATAATAATACGGTTCATACAAATATTTATTTTTATTGGAAATTCAGTTTTTTTTCTCAGCTTTGTTAAACATTGGTGATTTACTCTATAAACTTATGAATTACTCCATAAACCTCTTCTTTGTTTATAAACTTATGGCGATATGCATTTAAAACAAGTGCCCTCCCCTCATCATTGATATTCACACGGGCACATTTGTCGAACGTTCCCCATTTCGTGCCTCACTTTCGTCTTGCGAGTGACAGTACCCGACGGTTGCCTTTAGCTTTTATAGGCATACAATGTATATGTCTTGTTAATCTGAGTACTGACTGTACCCTGCATAAGCATTTATAATCATACGTACCGTTTCTATTGTTCTTCTAAGTAGCGCTCGTACCCTGCCTTAGCCGTATCATTTCCTTGCGTTCCGAGTGTATTGTTAATCTGAATGCTGACTGTTCCCTACGTAAGCCTTTTTAATCCTACATAGTTTCTATTGTAGCGCTCGTACCCTGCCTTAGCCTTATTCTTTCCTGACGTTCCAAGTGTACTAAATCTGAATACTGACTGTACCCTACGTAAACCTTTATAATAGTGTCTATTGTAACGCTCGTACCCTGCCTTAGCCTATTTCTTTCCTTACGTTCCAAGTGTATTGTTAATTTGAATACTGACTGTACCCTACGCGTACCCTTTATAATAGTGTCTATCCGTAAATTGTAGCGCTCGTACCCTGCCTTAGCCTTATTCTTTTCTTACGTTCCAAGTGTATTGTTAATCTGAATACTGACTGTACCCTACGTAAGCCTTTATAATAGTGTCTATTGTATCGCTCGTACCCTGCCTTAGCATTATTATTTCCTTACGTTCCAAGTGTATTGTTAATCTGAATACTGACTGTACCCTACGTAAGCCTTTATAATAGAGTCTATTGTAGCGCTCGTACCCTGCCTGAGCCTTATTATTTCCTTACGTTCCAAGTGTATTGTTAATCTGAATACTGACTGTACCCTACGCGCGTACGTAAGCCTTTATACTAGTGTCTATAGCGCTCGTACCCTGCCTTAGCCTTATTATTTCTTTACGTCCCAAGTGTATTGCTAATCTGAATACTGACTCTATGCTGTACCCTACGTAAGCCTTCAAAATAGTTTCTATTGTTGCGCAATCTTGGCAAAGGTGCAGGCAAACAAAATATGCCCGTGCAGAGAAAACCCATAAACAGAGTGTTGAAATAATTCCAAAGAAATGCCAGCTCTTCGTCGAGAAAAAATCAACAGGGGGTACACTTATCAATAACATAAATTAATAACATAGATTATAATGGAACATGGTTGTGGCCACGGGATCCATGACCAAAGGCAGTATGTACAGTAGGCTGAAATGCTGAGAGGACTCTCTGCATTTTGAATTCATATACCTGCACTAAACTAATTAAGGTAATTTAATTAATAATACGATTTTTTTCCAAACACATCATGTACAATGTACATGTACTTGCAAAATTGCTTCGATAGAGAGATTCAGCAGGCATTGTGCCAGACAGCTTTAATTGTAAGAGATCCTTTTTTGTTATGTAGATTTTTGTACCGCTCAACGAGTTGGAATCCTCTTGCATTGCTATCATGATTAACACAAGCAGCAAACAATTTGAATAATAAAAGTAAGGCAGTGGACAGTCACGGTGGACGGTAACTGTGGGTGGAGCGTGGCAAGCAAAGCTTTTCATTGGCTGAGACGTAAATACCCGTCCTACGTACGTACAAAACAATGAACACTTTTAACACAACACTTTAACTGGCCAAAAAAAAAATTCGTCCAAGGAAAACTTAAAACTTTTAGAAAACTAAGATCAGGAATCAGTATATTGGTTTGAACTACTCCTCTGGAAAGGAAATACTACTCATGAAGCAAAACTTACTGTAGAACTTAAACTTAATCTTTAAATCAAGTGAAGTTACATGAACTTTGGATTAATTGAAACTAAAGTCATCACGATGTGGCAAAGTAAGTCAAACTTCAAGACATTCTCATACATAAAAAATACCTTTCAACACAATACATCTCTCAGTAGTTGACAGAAAAACTTAAAAGCAGGACTCACCAGTGAATGGATGCGCAGGAGGTAAAATCTGGCATCAGTTATGTACAAGTGGCAAGGGAGCTAGTGAATAGAGGCGCTCACTCCATGATGCCTTGCTGCTCAATGATCAGACATAACTCTTAACAAAGGAAGGTCAGTGACCCTCTCTAAAGTAAACAGTGTAAGGGGCAAGAGGAGTCAGGGTACTAACCTTGAGGGGAAGGGCTGCTACTTTTATTTAGAAAACAGACTTGGAATCAGTGTTGTAGTCGAGACGGGATAGTCCGAGACCGAGACCAAGACCGAGACCAGAAGTTGCGAGACCGAGACCGAGACCGAGACCAGCCCCTTCAAGGCGGACCGAGACCGAGACCGAAATGATCCGAGACCGAGACCGAGACCGAGACCGAGACCGCGGATAATAAATAACAATATAAACAACAAGACACTAATTACAGCTGAACAGTCTGTCCTTGAGATGTTGATGTTAATGGGGATGTGAAGGAAGTGATTGAAAGTGAGGAATCACTTGTACCTGCTTAATTGTGTCATGCGAGTGCTCTTCGTGTTTGCTTCATGCCATAAATTACAACATGGCAACAAAATTTGTTATTGTCACAATCAATTAAAAAAAATTGGAAACAAACTAATTTAAAGAAGTAGAAAACCTTATTTGATGAACTCCATATATTTTTCCCACTTTTTAAAAAATATTTAAAAAAAAGATTGTTTAACTACTATAAAGTGTAAATCTGATGCAGAAACTCTAACTTAGGAGTACGACAATTTATACTAGTTTTTGCAAAACTTGAAGATGTTGAAACTTGACAAACGTAAAAAGTTAAAGTTGAATGTTTCATCTGTTATGGGAACTCGGACCCTAAACTCCACAGCCACCCCTTGGTTTCAGCAATGACCACTAACGGATATTTAAATGCAACTTTAATTTTACATTGGACCTCCTTGTAAACCTGATTCGAAAAAAATTTGGAGCAAGAAAATATTGATAATTTTTTTTAAATTTCAGTCATGGAATATAGATTTGTACATGTAGACTAAAACATTGAGAGATGGTAGCCAGATATGGATTGGTCTGCCCCCCCCATCCCTCTTTGTGATTCTCCTTCCAACCCTGCATGTTTGTGTGTCCCTTACATGTTTGTTTCTTCAGTTGTTCCTCTGTCATTTACCTCTGAAGAAGGCCTGGCTAAGGCTGAAATGTAATGCCACTTTATTTTTGTTTAATGTCAATAACATTACACATACTATAGAAGTTCGATGAACCATATTTGCCTGATCTATCTTCTGTTAATCTGCCCGCCGTCATCATCACCATCAGCCTACTTGATGGCCGACACAATAGAAGGGCGCTGTCACAAACTGAATGTGGTGGGTGAGATGTACTTTTATAGGATTCACGGCTCAGTGCCAACGCCTCTCTGTGTTTTGTACCGTGCCATCGTATCGCCCACACGGCTACTTTGCTGGGCAATTTACTTGAATATTTTAGTGATTAACAAGTACGACATATTGCCAATATATTAATAGTTTATTGTGATGGCCGTAAACAACATATAGCGATTAATGGAACACAATTCTTCTCGACTCATGCAAATGCAATTGACATTGAGGAAGGAGACGAGGCAGGCAATTAGACTCTATTTTTGTGTGACCATGGCAGTAGCTCAATTTGTGTTTATCACAGATGAAAAGATGAATACATGGCGAGTCAAAAAGAAAGTGGCCGTATGCTAAAAAAAATGGCACGCTCCATTTTGTAAAAAATATAATTGGGATAAAGAACATGTTATTGAGTAGTAACTGTGACCATTTCACGTAATTTGCATACTCTATTCCCAAGTCGTGTCTATTTTAATAAAGAGATTACAAAATTCAGCTGTCCACCACTAATACCAATTTAACGGTCTTCGAATTGATGAATATCCATTAATAAATATAATGAAAAAAAAACACCTTTTCCCGCCTCCACGAATAAAGGAATAATTGAAATGGAAAATAGAAAAAAATTACCAATATTTCTAGGGAAAAAGAGTTGAATTGTTCCCCATATTCAAAATACAAAGTCTCGACTCGAGACCAGCCAAAATATCGAGACCAAAGGGGACCGAGACCGAGACCAAGACCGAGACCACAGTTCCCGAGACCAAGACCGAGACCGAGACCGGCAAAAAGTGGTCTCGAGACCGAGACCGAGACCGAGACCGAGACCGGTCTCGAGACCTACAACACTGCTAGTAGGAATAAAGTAAAAAGTACAAAGAAAACTAATACTCCTCCACATGTACTCGTGTACACTTCCTGCGTACACGAAACATAAGACCCGACTCGGTCCAAGTCTAAATTCGTCTCGACTAAGAAGCAAGCGCAACGTACAAGCCTGTTTTAAAGGATTATTGTCTCATTGCCTACAGTACAATGGGATCCAAATGGAGTCATTGCAACTTCCTTCATAGACGGCTCTTGCATACATGTATACATAGGTTGCGTTTAACGGACTCGATTTACCTGAAACTTAAATTAGTACTCAAACGAATTGATTGCACCAACAAAAATTGACTTATATAAGATTAACACAGTCACGAAGAAGTAATAAGATAAACGCTGTACATTAGCATGCATGACGTTTGATACAATACAACGAAGTTTCAAATTAACCGACTTCTCACGTTCCGAGGGCGGGGGTATAGGGGACATGGTCGTTGGTTAAGGGGCCTGAGCCGCCCCTCCATGATCCATCCATCATCTCTTGGTTACGCCATTACCTGTACTTCCCATTGGCTCTCAAGGCAACACAATTCATGATACATCATTCGGAGACCATGGTTGCTTGAATTACAGGTGATATTCGCTTGGTTGGTGGGAGGGCAGAGAACGACGGCATAGTAATGCTTCATCTTGGAGGCAACGAATTAGTTCCCCTCGTATACGATGGAGTCGCCATGCCATTCAAGGATCTTGACTTTGTCTCCGACTTCATCTGTAGACACCTGGGCTTTCCATATGCAGTAGGACGTACAAAGAAGGAGGTGCACGATGCAAGTCAGCCGATCATATGCGAGTATCACTTCTCCACCCTGGAAAGATCATACCAGTGTAAAGAGTTCTTCGAATGCATTGATGAGAGGATGAGGATGTGTTCAGGTGAAGAGAAACGGTCAAAATCCCTGCTTGGAGTAGTCTGTGCAAGAGGTGAGAAGTTCCCTCAGTAATGTACACTTTTGACCACAAATGACTGATAGCTTTTACGAGTTCCTTGGAACTGACTGAATGGAAATCTAATCGCTACGCTGATCGCTTTACCGTTTGATCGGATTCTAGTTGAACGCAGATTTTGTAGTCAATAAGCCAACGTGAACAGAATATGAAGGGAGATGACTATCTTCGTTGAATACAAGGCATGTGTCACTATAGGTTTTTTTTCTTGTAAATTGCACAATCTTAAATTTTGACCTACTACCATCATTTCTATTTTGACAGAGCATGAAGTGCTGCCGCCAACTGCAACTCCGGAGTTTCGGTTAACGCCACCTGACTCTCGTTGGAATGGATCACGGCACGTTGGGTTTCTGGAGGGCCGCTACAATAGCTCAGACTGGAAGACAGTTTGCTTTCATTTCCTTCCACTCTGTACATTTTCTGGTATCAACACTGAGTTTAACCAAGTCTGCCGGGACCGTGGCTACGCCAGGGCTGCGAATCGGCTATATATACCGTACTTGGAGTCTGGATACAACAGCACCGGAGATGATCTCATCCTAAGACGTGCAATTTTCAAGAAGCGATGGATGTACGGGCAAAACTCTTGCCGCGACCATAATTATTCCCTAGTTTTCATTGAATGCGATCAAGGTAAATACGCAGTTTTTTTTTTTTTTGGGGGGGGGGGGGGGAGGTGAGGGGGTAAAATCCAAATCAAATCATGCTGTTTACAACAGACAGTGATATTCAGTTCAACTTGTCATGTACATGTTAACTACACTTCGCGTTGAGGATCTCTTGCACACTAACTTTGTATTCCTCCACAAAAATTCTACCAAGCTATGTTAACAACTAACTACCGTATTTTATTTATAAGACCACAATTTTTCATGAAGTGTATTATTGCCCTTTTCACAGGTGTGACTATCTATGGTTTGACGGTGTACCCTTGTCCAAAACAATCATGCCTTGGACGATGCGGGAGCCCTGCAACTGAGACACAGTGTGGTTGTGATGTGTTGTGTACGCTGTGCAACGATTGCTGTCATGATTACTCCACGCGGTGTCACTTGCAGCAACAAAATGTCACGGATGAATTCTTGCTGGTCGCATCGTTACACGACTTCTTGTCATGTGTCATTGTCGATGACGAACGCGCGGTGCTCGTGCAGGGATGTCCTACAGATTGGCCGGATGATGAGGTTGAGTTACGTCAAAATAATTCCATGTCAGAGCAGGTGAAATACGGAGGATTCTTTCATGATGTATATTGCGTGATATGTTATTACAACGAGTCCCGCGTCATCACCACGAAGCTTGTTGAATACAAGCGTGCATCTAACAATAATTCGACCAGAAACGACATAGAATTGGAAAATAGCTCTTGCCAGTCTTGGCATGAAAACACAATCCACGAAACGGACAATGATTTTAGCTCTTACAGTAGTAGTTCATCCGAATACGAAGCAGAAAATGCAGAAAGCTATGATCTTGGAATTGACAACTGCAGTGTGCACAATGTAAGTTTGGAGATCCAGACTGGATGCCGCGCATACTCGGCGATGGTAGTCGCATCGAATGGGCGAGTATACAAGAATCCGCATTGCGCATTTTGTAATGGGGTGAACTTTTCCGGGTGGGACTCTGATTGTTCGCCCTTCTCTGCGAGGTGTACTTTATTGAAACCTGTGGGTTTGCTTCTTGGCAGACAAGATTTTGTTTGGGTTCATGAAAACTCTACATATTTTGTTTTACTGAGTGATGTACATTGCTTCAACAAGCAGTACGTGATACGCGTCAAATCATCTGTCAACTTGCATGCTGCTGAGGTGATGGCCATGAATCAGTCCCAGACATCGGGAATGATGCAGTGTTACCTTATCGTCCTTAGCCAGCAGAATGTCCAATCAACATGGCCGTTTTATGTAGCATTCATTGAGGGTAAGAGGGTTTCCTTGTGGGAAGATGACACCTCTGAAGTGACCACGTGGGATTTCGGTAACGTTACTGATTTTGAGGCCTTGCTTGATGATAGCGTGTTACCATATCACGATGAAGGCAGTTCTAACAAGTGGGTTGTAAGGTGCGGAGTCGCCCAGGTGGAATTCGATGAAATTTGCGGCTTGGTCGACGATCACATTGAGCCCTGCGAGGTTTCTTTGTATATTACCGATGAGGAGATGTTAAAAGCCTTTAATTTCAGTGGCATCCAGGTTGTTTATGTGGGTGGAGGGCTTCTTGTTGAGGCAAAGTGGGTGTCCTACACTCGGTCCTATCAATACCACCCAAAGGTCCAGAATACCTCGGCTAAAAGCACCACTGTAAAAGTGTGTGGTAAACCTTTCTTGAATGAGGAGTGCCGGACGCCTGTTATTCAGAAGACGAAGCTGATGAGCTCAGGTGGTCAATCAGTGGTACAATACCAGAGGAAATTATTCTTAGAAGACCGTGTCGTGTACTTACCAGACGATCGGATCCTTATCTGTTCCAGCATCTTCACAACCGTAGACCCACTGAGCGTGGTGAGTTACGTGTCTTACAGCGTATCGACGGTTGCCCTTGTTGCAACTTTTACTACTTACTGTGTATTCCCAGCCCTGCGGAATGTGCCGGGTCGAGCCATTATGGGGCTGACTGCTGCTTTGTCTACGGCTCAGCTGCTGGCGCTTATACTTGTGGTTACGAGAATCACCGACCCAGCGGTATTCTGTGTGATCGTAGCTGCACTGTTGCACCACCTTTGGCTGTCCACTTTCGCCTGGATGAACGTTCTCTCCTTCGACCTTCTGAAAACCTTCTCAGCTAAGCAGACCGTCCGCCGAAACAAGCGCATCTTCTTAGTCTACAGTGCTTACGGATGGGGCATCCCTCTCCTTATTGTCGCCACATGCCTTGCGATTCACTTCATCTGGGGCCAGCAACTCGATTTTCAATACGGGGCGGGGCCGGGGGAAGATACCTGCTGGCTTTCGGGACAGTACGCCATTGTAGGCGCCTTTGTTGCTCCCATTGCATGCAGCCTGGTCGCTAATGTCGTCATGTTTGGTTGGACGGTGCGTAACGTGCATGCATCAGTTGTTGCCGGAGCTATGGTTCGTGCTGACAAATCCAAAACCAAGGAGCTGGTCAGAGAACTACAGATCTATTTCAAAGTAAGTTTACCCCTTTCATTAATTTGTTAACCCTTATGGAATTGTCCAATTTTGGGCTTCTCGAGTCCGGGCGAAAACTATGCTCCCAAACTTTCCTGCCATATTCGCGTCCACTGATTTTCCATACATTTTAGAGAGATGTTGGTTGGCTGGTAATCTCAAATGTGACGTTATTTTGTTTGCGCTGTAACCACAAGAGGGCACTTTACTATCACTATCCTTCGCTCGTACCCCCGCTCTGCAAACAGGGCGGGGTACGAGCACCGAATCTTGTGAAGGAAGTGGGGATTGCATTCTTGGTAACTTATCATGACCTATGTATGAAACATCTGGCTGCAGCTGTTTAAGTCCGCAGTTAGCCAATGCGCGCAAATGCTATCCGACAACTTTGCCATAGAAATGCACGCATTTTATACAGGATGTGATTTCCTTTTTTTATTACGGACCATGTGGACAAATTTTGATCGTCACACGAGATGCAATTGACCCTACGGGAATTCGAAACGGAGCCTGAGCAATAGACGGGAATTGAACAATTACAGGACAGATAATTTTTACAGATTTTCCTGCATTAGTACGCTTTTCAATGAAAACAATGAAAACCTTTGTGAATGGGATTAAAAGAGTGATGACTCAGTACCTTGTATAATAGGGACGTGGCCGTGATGACTTGCACATCACATGTCACCAAAATCTCTCCAATCAGAGCGTGAATTCGTCAGCGTATCCCAGCGTCATGTTTGTAGGGTGGGGTACGAGCGAAACACTATGCGAACTTTTTGAAAATTTCAAGGGTATGGAAACAATAGCTGTCTTTGCACCTACCCATTTAAAGCCAGAGTCCATCATTTGCAGCTATCCAAAAAGTGACTGGCGTAATTATTGTTGAAAAACGTACTTGGTTGAAAGATAGTTAGGGGACTTATCTCCCTGTGAAATAATTCTTTCTGGCAAGCTGTCATTTTGAAGAAATCATTGAAAGAATGCCTTTCCAGCGGTGCTTCTAAGCACCGTAGGAAATTCAAATTAGTAGTTCGTTTTGTTACTCGGCGAAATGCGCACAGGCACAGGCACGATGCATAAACGCGCGCGGTTGCTATTATTCGTTGGATTAGTGCGCGACATCGCGTAGCTGCAATCGGCTAGTGAGAACGTGTCTCGGGCGCTGGATTCATGCCCAATGCAAGACATGATTCAGCAACTTTCGTTTTGAAATCGAAATCCTAGAATGTTAAGCATAAAGACTCCATAATAATAAGGCCAAGATATAATTAATTTAACTTCATAACAAATAGCTGTGGAATCGGCCGATCGATTTCCTCGGTAAAACGGTTGCTTTTTCCAGTTGGGCTAACCAACTTCATCCTGCACATGACGGTACATGACTGTACATGTTGGCCTACAGGCTGGAACACTGGCTTTGTGAATAATCCATCATTATTCCTTAATATTAAGTAAGAATGCTCATTTCCATGGCGATAACTTCCCAGATAACATTGACACTAATACAGACCAACGTTGGTAGTTGGACGCCAACGTTTGCCCGACGTTGGTGCAGCTGGCTAGCGGTGTACTGACAGCATTGTTGATGTCAGAAATGTAGGATGGCTCAAAGATGGTTCAGTGTTGTACCGACAAAATTGGTGAAACGGTAATTTATGTTGTTTCAACGTTGGCTATAAATCGGATCGTTCGGGTGCAGCTTTGTCCTGGCGGTCGATGTTGGTGCATACCAATGTTCCCCGGTCCCTATGTTCACCAGTCGCTATGTTTTATAATAATAATAATAATAATAACAGATAATTTATAAGGCGCACAGTATATGGAGAACCATTCAAAGGCGCCGGTCACTAGCAAATCACTGTGGTTTAAATTATAAATTGAAAAGATGAGTCTTAAAATGGCGTTTGAATGATGACATATCAATGTGTCCCTAAGCTGCTTCCCCTGTCCAAATAATCCTAACTTTAACCCTACCCCTAAGGACCGGGTATTCGGGAACATAGAAACTAGGGAACATAGGTGCTAGCGTCTATTAATCAAGTTTGAAACGACCAGGAGAATGTATACAGTATAACTACTCTATGTTCCATGGCTTGGGACCATTTGGATGACGAATAATAATTAAATTGTCTTAAATTATTGTACCAACCGACCGAGTTCTGATGTGTGTGGCGTAGGGCGAGGCCAGCTAAATACATACTAAATAAGCACACATTTTGAAATCTGGCAAAATTCGCCATTTTTTTTTGTCGGTAGCCTTCCCCATACTTCTCTTCGAAACTTGCTTGAAGTTTCGATTGCGTTGAAAGAATGTCAGGCAAAAAAAGTGAGGTGGTCTGAATGCCAGGACCACAACGAACTATAAACCGAGAAAGAAATTAAATTAGTCCGTGTTTTGTTTTTCACTTACTAGTCATCCGTTAAGTTGGATAAAACGACATACATTTTTATATTCGCAAAATCAAAACGAGGGGAGGGGACAGGACATCACCTGATCACCCCCTCTTATGCTGCCTGTGGTGGTGTTTCACGACGTTATGAGCGATGGTAGGGGGCATGGGCGTCGCCAGGATTTTTTCTAGAGGGGGGCAAACATTTTTTTGGCCAAAAAATGCTTGTATTTCTCCAGTAACTCACCAAAAGTGATTCTTTTTTTTCTCTATTTATGCACAGATTTCTGCTGTCATGGGGTTCACGTGGGTATTCGGTTGCCTTGCCAACCGCATCAACCACGTGGTCCTCTGGTACCTCTTCGTCATCCTAAACTCTCTGCAGGGGGTCTTCATCTTTCTCTCCTTCGGCTGGAACCGCCGCATCCGGGCTCTCTGGAGGGAGAAGCTGGCCGCTAAGCAACCACGCGGGGCCTCCGACGCCAATAAGAGCAAAACTCAGACCACGCCTGTGGTGTCCAAGCAAAGTAGTTCAAATATATAAATGCTACATTTGATTGATTAAAGTTTAGAAGTTGACTTCGCCGCTAACATGCGATACACAACTAGTGGGTCATAAGCCACGTACACGCGGTCATTAGCGTGCTGGCATGCACTTATACCGTCTTCAATGACGCATCTATATTTCACACACAAAACTATTCATTTTGTGCAAACGCTCTTTTAAAATTTCGCTTTTAATCCTTGAAAGTATAATTGGGCAAACTGGGGCTGGATTGGGGCCCAATTTTGCGCAACTGGTTCCCATTTGGGAAATGCACCCGGGTATTCGATTGGGGCCCAACTGGGCAATCTTGGCAAAATTGGGATTTAGTTGGGCATACACACTGAATCAGTTTATTGCATACACATTTTTATTTTAAACTATTTTACTTTATAAAATACTCAATTTAACACATACACTTTCTCAATTTCAACTATACACGTTGGCAAGAAACGTTAAGTTGAGATTTCTACCATACTGCACGGAACAATCACTTACAACAAATCCCGCAGCTGATGGAAGTGTGCAGTAACCATGATTACCACGTGCATTAAATTTGGCAAACACATGTAGCTCTGAATTCATAGCTGTAATGAATACGTCATCGTCGTCGCCGTGGAGATATCAGAAAAAAATCATGAATACTAGAAAAGACCCACAAACGAATGAACAGTGCTTCCATTAAGCAGTTTCACGAGATGTATGTGCCATCTTGTTCGCGGGGGCAAAACAAACACTCTTTGCTAGATGATGAGGGCGCATTTTTGAATGATGACTTGTACATAATGCCTAGGTCCATAAAACAAAATGTAAACCCGGAAACATTCCTCCATTGACACTTGCCTGTTCATTGTTCAAACAGTACAGCAATCGGGCTTATCCATGATCTTCAAGAGTCTCCTCAAGTTCCCCGGCACCTGCAAATTCTCCTGAGTTTTCTCTCGCTGTGGTCCCTCGATCCAGTGAATCCGCCTGTGTTGATAGATTTGTTGAGGGCATTTGCATGTTCGTTGGTCTTTCAATCCATTCTGCATAAAAAAATAGAAATAAGATCACCTATTATTTAAACGTGCACTATGTAGGATAGCGATAATGTAGAATCAACCAAGACTAAGCATAGAATCAACAGAAATAACAGAAGATTCCTTGCTAGTAAGTATCCCTAAAAAAAATGAAATAGTAACATTAACTAGTCATGCTAGTGTCAATCATGCCAATATTCCTGTAAGAATTTGGAAAGCCCACGCAAAAGAGTCCATTGCAATCACTAAATCAGTAACCGAAATTATACTTTATAATAAATTGTTACACACAATATACAGTTAGGTGTCAGTCACAATCTTGGTTGGACAAAGGTCGTATTTACTCTTAAAAGAGTTTCTCTCAGCTGCCAGTCCCAGCCTGCATGCACACACCACACACCCGTTGGTGATGGCAGCCGTTAGTCTGGTTAGTCCGCAGTGACGGATAACGTAAAATGCTGAGTCAGGGACCAAAATAGTGTAGGTTCAGCCAATGAGATTGCCGATAATAAGTTAATTCGTATTTGGCAAATTTTGATTTCGGGAGCTGCTCGGACAAAATGAAATAATGTAAAAAGTATTACTTTCGATAACATATTTTGAGACATAGGTCTAAATAAAAAATGCAAATAAAATGCAGTGGATAGAAATATGAAATATATATATATAAAGGTCACATTACCATAATTTACAATGAAACTGGGTCCCACTTGGGACTCGGTTGGGAAGATGTAAGCAGAAGTTGCCCAACTTTGCCCTGTTTCTGCCCAAGCGGGTCCCAGTCGCAACACTTTTGCCCAGATTTGCCCAGATCGTGCTCACTTGGCACCCATTTGTAATAACTCGGGCCCAATTGCCTAGTCAAAAACCCAATTGTTTTGCTATCTGAGTAGTCAAAGCCTTCTTCATCTTTACCCCATAGTCATTTTTTTGGGGGCTAAATTCATAAAGAACAAATGGTTTATCTCAATGGTATTATTTTTTTGTAGTGCCACTGTCGGGTGCTTGGCTCAAAGAGAGGTCTGTAACCGTGTTCTTAACTAGGAACTCGACGGGCTTAGCAGTCTGTGTCAAGCTATCACCATTTTTGGCACCACGCTCAATCATCAAGTGAGCTCGACAGTAAACACAACATTCAGCCCGGCATACACCACAACGGTGCTCCATAACGGATTTTGAAAAAAAACAACCATCAAATTAACTCTTTAGTGTGCTACAGTACTGACATTGTCTGTACATTTTAAAATATTTTGTAATTACTCCTTCATTCTTTCGTCAAAAAAATCATACTCCACAAGTTCCCTATTAAAACATAGCTAAAAAAAAGCATCGAGAGTGCCACTTTAATCCCAGTTGAACTTTTGATTCCAGAAGTTCTGAGGCAAAGATCAGATTCAGGCCAATTCCCATAGGGTTTGTATTGTCTAGCTCCAACCAAAATACTTGTGCAGTAAAGCTGCTGTTTTCACAAGTCCATCAATCATCTTGTCATTTTGCCTAGTCTTAATTCTTAGAAACAAGTGGTCCTCATCCTATTTAGCTATATAAATGTAGCCTCAGGCAGTTGTGGTGGTAGTGTGTGAGTATATATGTGTTCCTGTATTGTATTACGCTCGAGGACAGACAACAAAATGTGCCTATTGTCCTCGAACGCAGGTTTGTGCGCTTAGTCTATGGGAAAAGTTTAGATCAGGGAACAAAGGAAAACACAAAGCCAATCCTCGGAAGCATAGCAAAAAACGACTGTGTGTGTGGGGGAGGGGGGGGGGGGCAGGTAAAACCAGGGAGACAAAACTTGAATTTTTTTCGCACGGGTACTGACCAAATACAAGGTACTCTGGGCACGTATACCCTTTTCTTTGGCTTGAAATTGTTTTCTTGAGCGAAAATGGACTCTATCCATCTATTTAGACATGTTGAGAAGGGATTATGTGATGCACCTTCATACTGAAAAACTCAGTACTATGGTGGATTACAACTAAAATAAAACAATGGCGCCTCGCAAGGTCAAACCGAGAGGAATACTGTAAATGTAGTGTTAGAAATTACGTTTCTTATTGTGCAGTCTGTAAGGCTGAGCACGATTATCTGTATGATAACTAACTTTAAAGACGGTGTATAAACAGGCAATCATCAAGTGATTTCTGATTAAAATGGACTTGATCTTTGTTGTGGGACGAGGTCGAAGGAAATGTATCTAGTTTATTAACCGATTGCGGAATGACTCTCGTTTTTTAACTGATAAATTTAATTCGAACTTTGTACAACACGAATCTTAATAATGCATATAGGCGAAATGTATCTCGGTTGCTTTTTTTTCGTGTTTTTTTTTAATACAGCCTAACCAGGTGCCGGGTACTTTTGTTATTTTAGCATACATTTTTAAGAAAAAAAAACAATTGAGCGTTGGCTTGCTCGAACATTGAGTACTATAGTTGGCGCATTTGATAACATCACCCATAATTAATGCTTGGACTGTGTTACCAATTTATGGAATTTAATATGTAGAGAGCATTGTTATGACAACTTGGGCGTAATTAAAAGACCATAATGTGGGTCATGTGAGGGGCCATGTTCGATTTAACGACGGCTGGCTGTAATGATGACGGATAATTAGCTGGATTACCTTTACTATACGAAAACATGTCATTGAAGTAATTCATTTCTGGTAAAAGGTAGGCGTAATGATCGCATGCTGTATTTAGCATACATGTTTGATACCTCGTGCGTATATGTACATGTTCGCAATCCAGTTAACATATATGTTCACAAAACACAATAATATTGAACTGAAACGGTAGATTTTGATTAAGTAAGGGGTCGTACAAATGTAATTGCACTCACTAAATGTATGTATATATGTGTTCATAAGATTAAAAACGTCACGTAGGCACATTAGTGTTCCTTATTGTTTAAAATGGTGCATGTAAATGGTCAATTAGTGTTTAAATTTATGTGATCTAAATACATTTTATGCTATGAATTTAAACTTTAAGAGTGGCAACACAGTTATCTCACAGTTAAAATAAATTATAAGAAAAGTCTTTTTTTTTAAAGACTACGTTTAATACGGTGATCATGTTTGACGGAATCAAATTCATTGAACAGTTTTTAGATTCAACGGCGGATCTGAGGCTGGGGGGGGGCAAAAAGTTGGGGGGGGCAGTTAGCTGGATTACCTTTACTATACGAGAACATGTCATTGAAGTAATTCATTTTTGGTAAAAGGTAGGCGTAATGATCGCATGCTCTATTTAGCATAAATGTTTGATATCTCGTGCGTATATGTACATGTTCACAAACCAGTTAACATATGTGTTCTCAAAACACAATAATATTGAACTGAAACGGTAGATTTTGATTAAGTAAGAGGTCGTACAAATGTAATTGCACTCACTAAATGTATGTACATGTGTTCATAAGATTAAAAACGTCACGTAGGCACATTCGTGTTCCTTAATGTTTGAAATGGTGCATGTAAATGGTCCATTAGTGTTCAAATTTATGTGATCTAATGACATTTTATGCTATGATTTTAAACTTCAAAAGTGGCAACACCATTATCTTACAGTTTAAATAAATTATAAGAAAAGTCATTTGTTTTTTAAAGATTACGTTTACGGCGATCATGTTTGACGGAATAAAATTCATTGAAAAGTTTTTAGATTCAACGGCGGAACTGGCGGGGGCAACAAGGACTCATGTTTATTTATTTATTTTTTTAAAGTGATATTGCTTAAAAACAAATAGCCACTGCGTACACCATCTGTCCTTAATATTTTTTAGTTAAAGTGGTCGGAAATTGCCTCAGATCGCAGCAAAGAGCATCTAGAATCCCGAACATTTCCGGTGCCCTTAAGCGGGCCCCGAGCCCACGCTCTCAATTTGTTTCCCCCCTGCCAGAATATCTGTGTTCTGGATCCGTCCTTGATTAAATTTATTCCAAATTGAACAGAAACGTTCACATTGTTGAACAAGTCCTCCAGTTATATTTGTAAAATTAATTAAGATTAATAAAGTCACGTACTGGTTCCTTGAAGCAGTGCATGTAGCAGGTTCATTCATTTGCAAATTTATGTGATCTAATTACATTTGATGCTATGAATAATATTTTATAGGCGGCGCTATTCGTCTTACACGGGACTTTTAAATCAACAGCCACTCTTGAAAAACAGAAATTTCGAGGAAAACAAAAACGTGAAAAAACCCACTCTACGTTAAAATCCGGTATTAATGCTAACTTTTGCTTCTGTGCTTTTCTCAGGTTGCCAAATTTGCCGGGGCGGGATTGTTTTATTGGGGCGTGCGCCCCCCCCCCCCCTCTCGCTGGTTACGCCGCGGCCTGTAGTGGTATATAATTTTGTTTTCTGGCACAACAAATCACTGAAGGAGAGTAGGAAATATGCAGAGAAGAGGCTTGTACAATATTTGTGTTAACTATAATTCAAACGATGCTGCCCTACAACTCCTTCATCTTAATCGTAGGCGTAGCCTGCAGAGGGGGGGGGGGGGGTGTAAGGGGTAATTACTCCCCCATTATTTTGTAAAGACTGCCTTTTTTTCTATTCAAATGCCCCTTTTTAACGGCTTACCCCCCCAATAATTGTTAAAAAGTGCAATTTTTTAAAGAAGTGCCCCTTTTCTCTGAAAAGAAGTGTTGCCCTTTTTTGTGGCACCAGCCGTTTTGGGTGCCTTTTACTGAATTTCGCACATGTATGGCCCTGAAAAACACCATATATTGGCCGTTTGTGTGCATAATCGTCGGTTTTGAACAGCGCCCCCATCGACAGATGGTTCTGAATCTATAAAATTCCCCCGTTTGAAAAAAGAAGAAGAAAGATTGAGTTTACCCAGTTACATATATACCTCTCAGATGTAAGCATTTGGACTCTTGGACAGAAAGATCAAACAGATTGAATCCAGCATGGGAAGGACCCATATTCAAAGGCTAAAAACCTGCCTTTCTAACGGGGTTAACCAGGTCAAATTGCATCGCACAATTGCCGCCGCCAACCAGTC